TTTTTTTTTTTTTTTTGCTAAGAGAGTAAATCTTAAGAGTTGTCATCACAAGAAAAAAATTGTAACTATGTGAGGCAATGTATGTTGATGAACTTATAGTGATCATTTTGCAATATATACATATATCAAATCACTATGTTATACACCTTAGACTAATACAAGGTTATATGTCAATAATACCTCAGTAAATCTGGGGAAAAAACAATATTAAACCAAAATATAATAATAATAAAAGAATGAAGACAAACAGATCCTCTCCTCCCACCTTGAATGTTAGGCACATTAGGACAATGGAAAACAAAAGGCAAGATGTCCACTGCTAATGAGTCCTTTTAAGGAATAATCTTCTGAGAATCCTGATGCTTTCCACTGTCTACTTTCTTTTTTGCTAAGTAAATCAACATCCTGAACTTAAATACTCTGTTTCCTCCAATTACACTATCAGGGAATTCGCTTCTTAAACCCTGGCCAATTCAACACATCCTTTAGGATCTTAATCTGCAAACTTCATGGGCCCTCACAAACCCCCACATTAACCCTGACATTACTGGGTCAAAAGGTCCTTGACTGCAGGGGTCGTATGTGGGATGTGCTTTTTCCGCTGTGGAGTACACACTCTCACATCAAAGGTCTTTTAGAACCGCAATGATTCTCAGATGAGGCATGAATTGTGGTAGGAGGCTAAAATAAAAACCCAGCACCCTTTTTGGACCTCTTTTTTGAAACTCTCTTATTAATTTAAGAAAGTAAAAAATAGAGGTGCGCCTGGGTGGCTCAGTTGGTTAAGTGTCTGACTTCGGCTCAGGTCATCATCTCACAGTTCGTGAGTTCGAGCCCCATGTCAAGCTCTGTACTGACAGCTCAGAGTCTGGAGCCTGCTTTGGATTCTGTGTCTCCCTCTCTCTCTGCCCCTCCCTTACTCACGCTCTGTCTCTCTCTCAAAAAATGAGTTAACATTTACAATAAATAAATATTTAAAACAATAAAAGATAGTAAAACTAGAGAAAACTAGAAAGTTGAAAGGGTTAAACCTTGGAAAACAACTTTTCCAAAAAGGAAATTTCTGGAAGGAAAGTAAAGCATTGAGAGAGATTGGTGAGGACACACCAAAAAGTTGCCATTCTGCCTACCAGCTCAGGACAGAGAGCTCTGGGAACTTCTGGCGAATACAATTTACTCCTACGCAAGCAAATCCCCCAGAGATAGCCAGTGCTCTCCTGCCTGCACACCTCCAATTCCTCTGGAAGGAACAGCTCAGGTTGGCATGCTGAAAATGAATTACAGGATATAAAACAAGGAAGTTGTAAAGATATATTTATGGGAACAATGAGAAGGCAAACACTCTGCTCTCAGGAAAGTTTAAGATTCTATTTCTGGTTTTTGTGAAGATGTAATCACTTCATAGAAACCCTAAAGAGAACCACAAGTTCAATTATCTGACATCTAAGTTTTCTTTCTAAAGTCTGCCTTTCTGGTTTAAAGCTTGATGCCTATGGTGCTTATACCATGAGTTATTTGGAGAATAAAGCGATAGGATATCATCTAGTGCCTACTATTCCCCACCGAATAATTCATATCCAACAATCTACTAACGATTATATCATTCCAAATCTTCCCTTCACCCCCCATTTTAATTTTGCTTCCCATCATGCTTTCTGGTGTTAGGGATGTGAATTGTGTACATGCTTGTGTACATGATTTACCCATTCTGGCAATGGAGTTAACTCTTTCCCACAGGCTCTAAGACAGACTGCTTCAATTCAAAGTGCACTTCTGCCTTTCGGTGCTCAGACAATCCCGGGCAAGTATTAACCCCTCTGGGCCTCCATTTCTCCACTGGAAAATGAGGAAAACTACTACCTGTATTCTGAGGTCATTACTAGCATGAAAGGAGTACTGGATGTTTTCATAAATTCTATCACATAGGAAATTTTCAATAAATGTCGTCATGAAAAGGGGCACCTGAGTGGCTGAGGTGGTTAAGCGTCTGACTCTTGGTTTCAGCTCAGGTCATGATCTCATGGTTTTGTGAGTTTGGGTCCCATGTGGGGCTATGCCCTGGGGGCATAGAACCTGCTTGGTATTCTCTCTCCCTCTCTCTGCCCTCCCTGCTCACGCTGTCTCTGTCTCTCTCAAAATAAATAAACTTAAAAAATTAAAAAAAAAAATTGTCGTGGAAAACCAAACACACACAAGCATAAAATATAAAGCAAGAGTCTCCACCATGTGACCAATGTCACCTGCAATCATGTATAGCAGCCCTTGTCTTATTTCGCCATAAAGGGACAAGAGGGGTAGCAAAGTAAATGGAGCCAGAAGCAAATGTATTCACACAATTCCTTCAACGAAGCCCTCTACACTTGCTCTGGGGAGGCTACAAACCTGCCTCTCACCTTTCTACCAACCTTTCAGTGTTAATACGGAAACAACAAATATGTCCAAAAATGGATTTATAATGTCCAAAAATGAAAACTCGTCAGCCCTGAAGCTTAGGAGACCATCCCTGCCCCACAGGGTGTCCTGGAGACACTATGCAATATAAGGAAGGGTGTTTGCCACCTCAACCTTCACAACACAGCACCAACTTTCCTGGAGCACTTTATTCTGTCCCCTGATCGACAGATGGCATCCCCCATGTGTAGTGCAAAGAAAGTGATTTATGAGGCCATGTGGTGCAGGTGAGACAGAGGACTCTCTGACAATGGTCTGACTTCATGCAGGAGGGGGCATTAGCAAATGGATGGGAAGCAGATGGTACAGGTGGAGGCCCGAGGTTATTACCCTCACAGACCCATAGCAGGTGCAACGGCCCTGTACTGCAGCTTCTGGGCACGGACGTGTACTTTAGCAGCTGGCTGGCAGCCAAGGTTGACACCTTTTTGTGAATATCAGCACCACACAAGATCAGCCCACTTCTGGTGGGAAAAAAGTTAAAGGAGTCCTCCTGGGCAGAAGCAAGTCTTCCTGGAGTAACTTCTTTTGTGCCGCCACAAAGAAACAACAGGGGCAGGGGGAACAGGACCACCTCGGTGTTAGCCTCTAACACCTTCAGCCAGGGGCTGCCATGTATGGCCTGCTGGTTACTCTGCAACATCTCATGGGACCCTTTACAATAACCCTAGGACACGATACTATTATAACTAGTACGAATTTGAAATACAACACATTTTTTAAAAATATTAAATACTGTCTCCTTGGACAAATAGCTCACATGCCTTCCTGAAAGAGACCTTGGGATGAACAGGTATCTACAAGTTAGAACAAAGCAAGTAGGGTTTTTTTCAAACACTCAACACAGTAGGAATCTATCAAGCAGACTCCACAGAAGTCACCATATAAGTTCATTTGCTCCATGTTTTGGCTCCATAATGAATGAGCTGAGTAACCCTGAGCATATGATTTCACCTTCATGTACCTATATCCTCACCTGCAAAGGGAAGAGATCAGGAGCTGCTCTGTGAACTGGTAAATACACACACACACACACACACACACACACACACACACACACACTCATATACACAAATACTTTCACACTCTTTATGAAACTATTACAGTGACTGAAGTCACTCTCCCCACCCATCAGATCATGTTAGTAACATGGGGCAATGCAGAGTCCGGAACATCGTGTGAAACACGCTCTCTCATAGGTGTGCAAACGTGAACCCCACCCTCTCCCAAGCACCAGGCAGGACTGACTTTCAAACGATAAAGATGTGTTTCTAAGAAGCAAACTATCCCCACTTTTACAAACTCATCAACTATTTGAGAACTCTCCTGGCACAAGCATGCCCCTTGTGTTCCTGCTTCTCTACTCCAGACACACACATATTCCATCATCCCCAAGAACAGAAAAAAAAAACTTCAGGACACACCTGGAAATTGGCTACAATGCCCATTCCGATACATCCCACCAATCCAAGAACTAGCGACACCAGGTTAAAAACAGGCGTGCTGAAATAGCTGGTTTGATTTTGCTTCTCTACTATTTTGTATCTTGTGTACATTGTGGCTGCACCTGAAAAAGAAGGGCACTTTGGTGAATTTTTATTATTTGACCTTTTAGAACAAAAAACACAGGGAAAGTTTTGCCTTGTGTTTTTAAAATCTGTATTTCAGTTTCCCAACTGCCATAGTCTCCCACTCACCCACCCTGTCCTTCCTCACCCCAACTCACTCTCCCCACTGTGTGTATCATCACACACAAACTTGCCTGTTATCTTTTTCACATAAATGCTACTGTGCACATATTCTGTGACTTACTCTTTTTCACTTGAGATAAGTCACCACGGAGATCTTACCATGTCAGTACAAGTAAGTCTACTTCCACATTTTTAGGGGACTCATCACGGTATATATTTATTTCATCATTCTCTTAACGTTCGACTTCTACATTGTCTCTCTGTTTCTCCTGTTACAAGGAATGCTCAGTGAACAGCCTGGTACACAAGTATTTGGCATGCTTTCAGTGTTTCTGAAAGATGAATTCCTAGAAACAATATTACCGGAACAAAAACCGTGCACAACTGAAATGCCAAGAAGTATCTTCAAATTGCCCCAAGACTGTATGGCAGCGTTTATACTCTCACAGCAGAGTTTGAAAGCAATTTTACAAGTCCTTTTAATGGCTTTTTAATTGCTACCAACCTGATGAATGAGAATCAGCAACCTGTTGGTTTAAACTGCATCCCTCTGATCATTAGTGAGATTGAGCAACTTTCAGTATGTCTACCAGTCATCTGCATTTCTTTTTCTGAAAATTGCATTTAAACTTCTTTTATTTTTCTCCTGGGGCGCCTGGGTGGCGCAGTCGGTTAAGCGTCCGACTTCAGCCAGGTCACGATCTTGCGGTCCGTGAGTTCGAGCCCCGCGTCGGGCTCTGGGCTGATGGCTCAGAGCCTGGAGCCTGTTTCCGATTCTGTGTCTCCCTCTCTCTCTGCCCCTCGCCCGTTCATGCTCTGTCTCTCTCTGTCCCAAAAATAAATAAACGTTGAAAAAAAAAAAAATTTAAACTTCTTTTATTTTTCTCTTGAGTTTGTCTATTCATTTTTAAAAATTTTTTTTAATGTTTTATTTATTTTTGACTGAGAGAGAGAGAGACAGAGCATGAGCGGGAGAGGGGCAGAGAGAGAGGGAGACACAGAATCCGAAGCAGGCTCCAGGCTCTGAGCTGTCAGCATAGAGCCCGATGCGGGGCTCGAACTCTCAGACCACAAGATCAGGACCTGAGCCGAAGTCGGACACTCAACCGATTGAGCCACCCAGGCGCCCCTTCATTTTTAATTTGTAGTTGCTTTTTAAAAAAATGTTTACTGAGACAGAGAGAGAGAGAGAGAGAGAGAGAGAGAGAGAATCCCAAGCAAGCACCATGCTGTCAGTGCAGATCCCGACGTGGGGCTTGATCCCAGGAACTGTGAGGTCATGACCTGAACCAAAATCAAGAGTCGGACACTCAGCCAACTGAGCCACCCAGGCGCCCCTGCAGTTGCTTTTTAAACATTAGTAGTAGACATTAGTCTACTGTCTGCTATAAATATTACAGGTTTTCTTCTGGTCTGTCTTTAATTTTGTTTTCGGTTTTTGTTTGTTGGTTGGTTGGTTTGTTTGGTATCCTTCATCAGTTAGAAGTTTTAATTTTTTTTAGAAGTTTTAATTTCTTATCTACTAAATCTATCAATTCTTTCCTGTTTAGCTTCTGGGTTTTGTGTAAGCTTAAAGCATTTCCATCCTCAGGTTTTAAAGGATTTTCCTATAACTTAATTATCTTACAGTGTTGCTTTTCATGGCTAGTTCTTTCATTGCCACTGGTTCTTGTGAATGGTGTGAGGACGGTACAAAGGGTATGTTTTTCCAAAGACCTTACCAATTAATCAAATACCACTTATTGTTATGGAGAGTAATGTCACAATAACATATAATCTCTGGAGCACCTGAGTGGCTCAGTCAGTTGGGCTTGGGCAGGCGTCTGGCTCTTGGTTTTAGCTCAAGTCATGGTCTCCCAGCTTCATGGGTTCAAGCCCTTGTGGGGCTCTGGGCTGGCAGTGCTGAGCCTGCTTGGGATTCTCTCTCTCTCTCTCTCTCTCTGACCACCCCCCTCCCCACACTCGTGCAGTCTCTGTCTCTCTCAAAATAAATAAACTTTACTATACATGAGTTCCATAACAGCAGGGTCCTTGTCTTTCTGCTGCTGGGGCCCTAGCACTAAGCATAAGCACAGAGCCTACCACATAGTAGGCACTTATTAAATGAATGTTGAATACATGGACAGCTATCAAAATTTTAGATCCGTAATAACTTTTACTCAACAAATTTACCTTATAGAAGATCTTACATCAATATGCAAAGATGTATTAAAAAGAATATTCACTTGAGCATTGTAAATTGCAAAGTCAGAAATAGCCTAAATGCTTAACAAGAGGGGACGGATTATATAAGCTATAATATACCCATGAGAAGGGTATCATGCATGTGTTAAAAGAACAAAGTAGATTTCAACGTACTGACATGGTGTGATGGTCTTTTTTTTTTTTTTTCTGAAATTTAAAAAGCAGGCTAAAAGCTCATCATTTATCATAGACTATTGTAAGCGAAGATGTTCATGACAGATTCTGCCTTGTCTAGAAGCAAAAGGCCATATTTATTGCTTGCCAGTGATGAAATAATCTCTCCATCTTCTAAATCTGGACTCTACGCAAGGATGGCATAAAAGGACACTGAGATTGATTGACTCCTATTTCTACACTCCCCTCGCTCACCTCCAAAACCTCGGGATGAGAACACCACAAATGAATGACACGTGAAACTTTCTACCAAGTAAGATGAACAAATTCCAAAAATGCCAAGTCACTAGGGTTCCCCCGTGCCTCTGCCCTTTCCCACCCTGCACCAGTAGAGGAGGGTAGAAAGTATTGGTTACGTGATAGGCCCCTGACAAACACCTAATTGTTCCAGAAGGTAAGGGCTTATGAAAGGACTAGGAGAAAGAGCCCCCCATCTTACATCTATACACCCAGATTTCCCCATAGTAGACTAAGTTCTTTAGTCATTATATTGATTGGTTCATGAGAGGCTTGTATCCTATCAACTGTATCTATCTATCAAATGCATTGTATCCTATTCTCAGTTGCATTTGAGGAACTGAAAGGAACAATCAAACCTGAGTTGGAGACAAAGTGTTGTCTGTTTCACCTTTTTTCCTTTTCTCTTACGGGTCAGACAACACCTTTGTCAGGGGTTCCCAAGCTATAGTAAATATCCAAGTCCCCTAGAGTGCTTGACCACCATGCTGATTCTTCAGCCCACTCCCACAGGTTCTGACTGAGTAGATCTGCATTTTTCCCTGGGAACATGCATTCTAACTGGCATCCCAGATGATCTTCAGGTAAGTGGCTTTCAGTACCCACTCTGAGAAACATTAGCTTGTACACTAGGTGCTTTGGCTTTCACAAATGCGTGGGATACAAATCACAAATTTATAAACAAATTACATTTAAAATTCATTTCAAAATCCTGTGGCACATTACTAGATGAAGTGAAGAATAGTTCTATAAATGAGGCCATAAATAACTTTCCAGTCATTTTAAGTTTCTCAAAGTAGAACAAAATTCTAGTTGCAAAGCTTGTACTTTAAAAAAAAATTATACACACCAAGAGAGAACCCTAATGTAAACTATGGACTTTGGGGGATACTGATGTATCAATGTAGGTTCATCAATTGTAACCAACGTACAACTCTTTTCAGGGATGGTCATAGTGGGGGAGGCCACAGGGTGGGAGGCAAGGCATATTTGAGAAATCCCTACCTTTTGCTCAGTTTTGCTGTGAATCTAAAATTGTTCTAAAAAATTAAGTCTGCTAAAAAAATAACAAAAAATTATATACAAACTGTAAATGACACATTTTACTTCACTTGAGACTGTGAATTTTTCATAAGAATTATTGCATACTTACCAAGAAATGCAGAGAAGTTTATCATAAATCCAAAAATACCACTTTCTGGAGGTGTTGTTCCTGTATCACTGACAAAGAGAAATTTCTGAATTATTAAAAAGGAATTCTGTTCAGACCATGTATTGGCAGGTTTTATAGGGTGTTTCTTCTGGGTGTTCAGCCACTTTGAATTCCAAAGACTTGGTCTAATTTTGCTCTAAAGTATTCTCATTTTGACTCTGAAAAATCTAAAACTCATTTTTCTACCTTGAGAGATTACATTTAATTTTTTCCCATCATGGGGCGCCTGGGTGGCTCAGTCGGTTAAGCGTCCGACTTCGGCTCAGGTCATGATCTCGTGGTTTGTGAGTTCGAGCCCCACATCGGGCTCTGTGCTGACAGCTCCGAGCCTGGAGCCTGCTTCGGATTCTGTGTTTCTTCCTCTCTCTGCCTCTCCCCTGCTCATGCTCTGTCTCTCTCTGTCTCTCAATAATAAATAAAAACGGTAAAAAAAATTTTTTAAGTAATTTTTTCCGATCATAAAAAACTAGGAAATACTGGGGCACCTGCATGGCTCAGTTGGTTAAGCATCCAGCTTCAGCTCAGGTCATGATCTTGCAGTTCATGAGTTCGAGCCCTGCATTGAGCTATCTCTTATCAGCACAGAGCCAGCTTTGAATCCTCTCTCTGCCCCTATCCCCCTCTCTCTCAAAAATAAATAAATATATTTTTTTTAAAAAGCTAGAAAATATTTAAAGTCAATGGTAGTGATGTTTCTCAATAAACTTGATGTCTGTTCATTCTCAATAAGAATTGAATGTGACTATTTTGGGAAAAAGGAATCTAAAATCAAGTTTGAAAAATCTATCTGGATTGTAACTATACATAAACACATCATGTACATTTTTTTAACAATTTGATTTATCCACAAGAGTTTACACTGCTGAAAACAGAATGGTGGAAAGCTGAGCAATATCGATACCTATTAGAACCTTATGGAAACAATAGGCATCAAGAATATATTAATTGTGATAAAGTATTTCAATAAAAAATAGTTTTTATAAGACATTTTTCTGGTGCAATCAATTAATCAATTAAATAAGCTGGAAAAAAATAATGATCTGGAAAGTAGCATTTGAACGTGTTCTGTTTTCTATTCATTCATGCCAAAGTTTACATTTTTACATTGTCAAGCTGCTCCCATAAAGCAACAGTTTAAAACTGATGGCAAGAGTTCCCAGCATGAAACAATTCATACCAGTTGTAAGTGTTTCCGTGTTTTAAAACAGCTCTGAAATATAAGTACTGAAAAACTGATCATGTTGAAAGGCACACTTCAAATTATTTGAGAAATCCCACAAGAGGCCCACGTGTGCAGAAGGCAGCAGGAATCTAAGTTTTGTGCACACTTAATATTTGGAGAGTATAAAGAGGCTAATACTCCTTTGTTGTCCTTACAACAAATACTTCTATTCCTAATGATTTCAATCTCAGTGCCACTTGCACCTGTAGGAATCTGGAGGGTTTAGAATCTAATGTTGCCATTTAAATAACCATTTTTCTCCCCAAAGGAATGCTGAGGCAGAGGACACTGCACCATGTGTGGGACGTCCCTCTGAGCACGACAAAGTGGGTAAGAAAAGGGGACCGAACCTGTAATGGCAAGAAGGCAGAGACAGCTTATACCCTCCGGCAGCACTTTTGCCCAAAGATTAAATCTCATGTAGAAATCAAGCCTTCCGTCCTTGGCCTCAGGATCTAAAGAGGCAGCTTCCAGGTGAGTTATGCAAGAGTACTTGCGATCACAGACCTGAGAGAGTAAGCTGCCGCATGCCGGGAAGACTGCTTACTTGTGAAGAAAGGCAAGGAAATGGAGGAGTGAGGAAGATATTTATGAGGATAGGTAGCTGGTGGGAAGAAGGAGCCCTAACAGGAGATAAGTTGACCAGACTCTGGAACTATCTGTCCACTGACAGCAAACCAAGACATATGTCAAGGGCCCAGATGTGCAATCCACATAACAGCAGACATGTGATCTGAAAGGTCAGAATTTCAAGGTGGTATTTTATTCTTATTCATTTGTACATTTAAAACCATACAGGCAGAATCAAAAGTGTTTTGTAAATAGCTATTCCATATGTATTTGTTGAATGAATGAATGACTATCAGTACTGGCAATAATAATAATAATAATAATAACCCAAACCTAATAAATACCACTTACTGAGCATTTACTAGGGACCAAACATTGTTAGGTGGTTATTATATATCATTTCTTTTTATCCTCAAATCTTGAGGTGAGATTTTATGATTTTTTAAATGTTTATTTTTGAGAGAGACTGTGTAAGCAGGGGAGGGGCAGAGAGAGAGGGAGACAGAGGATCCAAGCAGGGTCCATGCTGTCAGCACAGAGCCCAATGTGGGGCTTGAACTCACAAACTGTGAGAGCATGATGTGAGTTGAAGTCAGATGCTTAACCAATTGAGCCACCCAGGTGATCCTTGAGGTAAGTCTTATTTCAACCCCATTTTACTAAGTAAGAAACTGGTATTAGGTTACAGAACTTGTTCAAGGTCACAGAGTTATTAAGGAGAGGAATCTATATTCCAATTATTAAACACAAAACAATAGACCCAAAATGGAGTTGCTCATGCTAAGCCCCAAGTCACCAAACTGAGATTTATTTACAGTTTCAGCTTTCCTGGAAATGGAATCTTAAACCAGTCATTCAGGAATCATCTGAACAGCAAGTTGCATAATCTGCCTTATAAGACCCCTGTCTTCCTGTGTAAGGAAAGTAACCTTGCAATAACCAATTGGCTTCTTGCCCAGTATAACTTCCTTGTTCCTGCTCCCTTCTGTCTATAAAAGTCTTTTATTTTGTACAACTCCTCAGAGTTCCGTTTGTTTGTTGTTGTTGTTGTTGTTGTTGTTGTTGTTTTAAATTAGGCTTCACACCTAGTATGGAGCCCAACTCGGGTCTTGAACTCATGACCCTGAGATCAAGACCTGTGCTGCAATCAACAGCTGGATAGCTCAACTATCTGAGCCACCAAGGCACCCTCTCAGATCTTCTTTCTGTCTGCTAGACTGGATGCTGCTTGATTCATGAATCCATGAATAAAGCTAATAAGATCTTTAAATTTTTGTTCAGTTAAATTTTGTTTTTAATACAATCCAGATATCTGACTCCTTGACTTCCCTGTCTCCTGTGTGCTCTAAAGCAGGCAAGGAATGAAGAAATTAGAAGGATTGGCAGTGGGGGTAGAGAATGAACACTGGTATGCTAGTAAATGTTTAACAACTTGCTCAGAGGGAGTCTGATTTGTAGCATAGGCCAATTTCCATGGTGTAAATACTGCCAACAAGTCAAAGTTCAAGCTACCAAAATGTAGGTTATTAAACATCGAACTGGGAAGAAATATACACGGTTGGCTCCCAGGAGCACATATCAGCTGGCTCCAGCACACCATGGGAATGAACCATGTTGGTAATGAAAAGAGATCATCATGCCCTTCTTGTACACCAGGAAAGTGTAAACTAGGCAAGAGCTCGTAATTCCTTAAATACCATAATTGAATTGTAAAACATTTTTGACAAATATTTACTACCATAATTAATCTGATTTTCTTTCAGGATTACTGAGTCCACAGCACCTACCATCAGTACGTGAGTATCAATGGGCCTACATTCCTAAACTTCGCACTACGACATAGGCAGTGACCATACTACAAAAACGGGAGTAAAATATTAATGCACCGCATTCATAATCATTGTTTGATTAAATGCAACCATCTTTAAAAATTTTTTTTATTTGGCTCCACAAACAACCATGAAATTTATCTGCTCATCAACAAAATATTTAAGGGACACAGACTATGTGTTAGATACAATTTGAGTAACAAATTCCCCAATCTATCAGGTAAGAATGGTCAGTTTGTGATTTATTTCCCTTAAGTGACAAAACGGTACCTAACTACATATGGTGAAATTTCACTCAAGATATTTCAAGAAAACTGTCTAAGCAGCAAACGAAAATGTGACACTTCTAGGAACTTTCTTTTTTTAAGATTATTTATTTTGAAAGACAGAGAGAGAGTGAGAGGGGCAGAGAGAGAGAGGGAGAAAGAGAGAATTCCAAGCGGGCTCCGCATCGTCAGCACGGAGCCCCACATGGGGCTTGAACTCTTGAACCATGAGATTGTGTGTGACCTGAGCCGAAATCAAAAGTCAGACATTTAATCCACTGAGCCACCCAGGCACCCTGACATTTCTAAGAACTTTTAAAAATAAAAGCCAAATTAAACTACTTGGGACTACCCCAAAATAAAAAGCTCTTGCACAGCAAAGGAAACCATCAATAAACAACAAGGCCCCCTACTGAATGAGGGAAGATATTTGCAAATGATATATCCCATAAGGGGTTAATATTCCAAAATATATAAAGAACTTATACAAGTCAACACAAAAAAATAATAATAATCTGATTAAAACTAGGGACCTAAATAGACATTTTTCCAAAAAAGACATACAAACGGAAAAGATGTTCAACATCACTCATCATCAGGGAAATTCAAATCAAAACACAATGAGAAATCACCCTACACCTGTAAGAAAGACTAGAATTAAAAAGAAATAACAAGTGTTAGTGAGGATGTAGAGAAAAGGGAACCCTCATGTACTGTTGGTGGGAATGTAAACTGGTGCAGCCATTGTGGAAAACAGTATGGAAGTTCCTCAAAAAATTAAAAATAGAATTACCATATAATTCAGCAATTTTACTACTGGGCATTTACCCAAAGAACATGAAAACACTAATTCAAAAAAATATATGCACCCCTATGTTTATCGCAGCATTATTTACAATAGCCAAGATATGGAAGCAGTCCAAGTGTCCAACAATACAAGAATGGATAAAGATGTGGTACACACACACACACACACACACACACACACACACACTCACAATGATGCAAAATGGAATGTTACTCAGCCATAAAAAAGAATGAGATTTTACCATTTGTAACAATATCGATGGACCTAGAAGCTTTAATACTAAGTAAAATAAATAAAAGAAAGACAAATACCA